TCTCTCTCTCTCTCTCTCTCTCTCTCTCTCTCTCTCTCTCTCTCTCTCTCTCTCTCTCTCTCTCTCTCTCTCTCTCTCTCTCTCTCTCTCTCTCTCTCTCTCTCTCTCTCTCTCTCTCTCTCTCTCTCTCTCTCTCTCTCTCTCTCTCTCTCTCTCTCTCTCTCTCTCTCTCTCTCTCTCTCTCTCTCTCTCTCTCTCTCTCTCTCTCTCTCTCTCTCTCTCTCTCTCTCTCTCTCTCTCTCTCTCTCTCTCTCTCTCTCTCTCTCTCTCTCTCTCTCTCTCTCTCTCTCTCTCTCTCTCTCTCTCTCTCTCTCTCTCTCTCTCTCTCTCTCTCTCTCTCTCTCTCTCTCTCTCTCTCTCTCTCTCTCTCTCTCTCTCTCTCTCTCTCTCTCTCTCTCTCTCTCTCTCTCTCTCTCTCTCTCTCTCTCTCTCTCTCTCTCTCTCTCTCTCTCTCTCTCTCTCTCTCTCTCTCTCTCTCTCTCTCTCTCTCTCTCTCTCTCTCTCTCTCTCTCTCTCTCTCTCTCTCTCTCTCTCTCTCTCTCTCTCTCTCTCTCTCTCTCTCTCTCTCTCTCTCTTTCTCTCTGTCAGGTTATCGAAAACGTCATATGAAAAATTGCGATATTTTCTAAAATATTTGGGTCTTAACTTTTCGAGCGTTAAAAATTTTTTTTATAACTCCTGTGATGTTATCCAAAACTATAATTAAAAAGCTGATTAGATGCGATGTTAAAAACAAATATTGCATTACAAATTCGTAGAATATGCGTTGTAAATTTCACGTAATTATCGCGTTACTTTTATTTTAATCAGACGATTAAAATCATTCTGACAAAACAAAATATTTTATTTTCAAGATTTGAGAAAAATGTTTCAAATAAAAGTTGTAAGGTTTTAAGTATCGGAGTCTCGTGCAGCTTGCTAAAAATAAAGTGATTTTTGAGAATTTTTTTTTGAGAAAACAATTCAATGGATTTTGTTGAAACTTTTAGAGTATTTTAATCAACATTTAGAAAAGAATAACAATTTTTTTTTTTTGTAAAAAAATAGTCGTGTTAGAAACTATAAAAGTATTTCGTTGCGGTCTCGGCGTTAGAGAGTCGTTTGTCGGCGTGCATAGCGCGTGTATAGCGCCTGTTGTATTCGCTTGAAAAAAAATTTGAAAAGATT